TCGGCATTGCGGGGACCCGCCCTTAGACCAGCAGAAAAGGAAAAGTAACCAAGATGTGAACCGCCCGTGTCCACGTCCCCGGGGCGCGGGGATTCGAGGAAGGCGACGCTGTGGTGGGCCCCAGCCCGGGCCGGGAGGGCCTCCTGCTGCAGGCCGGGCCCCGCTTTGTGGACAAAACAGTAACGAGTTGGGAGGCCAGTTGGACGGGGACAGGGCGGGACAGAAACCCACGTGGGAGGCCAGGGGCGTGCACCGAGGCAGGGGAGCTCCCTGGCCTGGGGAATTTGTGCGTGGACAGTGGGAGGCAGCACATGGGAGACGAGCCCGTCGCCAAGGCCCTCTAGGACAGCGGCCCCCAACCTTTTGGCACAAGGGAGCGGTTTCATGGAAGGTAATTTTTCCACAGAAAAAGGGTGGGATGGTTTCCGGATGAAACCGTTCCACCTGGGATCACCAGGATTCGCTTCTCCTGAGGAGCCCGCAGCCTGGACCCCTGGCAGGCGCAGTTCTCAATAGCGTTTGCGTTCTCGTGAGAATCGAATCCCGCCGCTGACATGACGGGAGGCAGAGCTCGGGCACTGCTCACCTCCGGTTGTGCGGCCAGGTTCTAACAGGCCGCGGCTCAGGGTTTGGGGACCCCTGCCCTAGGAGATGTTCCAGCATTGCGGCTGCTCTCAGAGAGGCTGCTGGAAGCTCTCCTGGCGGCGGGGGGCAATCACGGCTGAGCCCCTGGAGCCATTTCTCAGCTCTGGGATGGAACGGTTGGGACCTAGGCTGAGGCCCAGGGACCCCGCAGAGGGAGAAGCACAGACCTGGACTGAAGTGATGAAGAGAAGGGAGGGGTTTCAGGGCAAACAGCAGAGGCTGCTCGCTGAGAGGATGGCAAGGGGGAGGATGCAGGCCTCTGGCCCTCCCTCTCTCCCGACCTGCAGCTCTTGGCCCCTAAATGCCATTCACAGACACAGGGCAAGTCGAAAGGGCTGGGGAGGTTCAGAGGACGGAAGATGGGAGCTGCTCCCTGCATTTCTGAGGGTCACACTGAGCGGGGCTGGGCCACAGGCACCGTGGACCGACCAGGCGTCATCCTCGTCCTACAGTCATAGTCTCAGGACCTCTGCAGGAGGCCTTCCCCCCAGCCTTCCTCTCATCGTAGCCCAGGGCGGCAGCCACACTCAAGAGTCGTCTTTTTTTCTTTTTTTTTTCCTGAGACAGAGCCTTGCTCTGTCGCCCAGGCTGGAGTGCAGTGGTGCAATCTCGGCTCACTGCAACCTCTACCTCCCGGGTTCAAGAGATTCTCCTGCCTCAGACTCCCAAGTAGCTGGGATTACAGGCGCCCGCCACCATGCCCAGCTAATTTTTGTATTTTTAGTAGAGACAGGGTTTCACCATGTTCGTCAGGCTGGTCTCAAACTCCTGACCTCGTGATCCCCCCACCTCGGCCTCCCAAAGTGCTGGGATTACAAGCATGAGCCACTGCGCCCGGCCAGGAGTCTTCTTTCAACTTGGAAGTCCTGCAAAATCCTGCCACAGGCCTCTTCCGGGACTCCGCCTGCACCTTCCAAGGCCTGGGTGCACTCACACTCACCCTGGGCCTCCACTCACTGAGCCATCACAAAATGCATCCAGACATTTTATGCTTTCAGAAATCGTCACTAGGCACCTGCTCTGTCTCCAGCACTCTCCCATCTTGGGGATTTTAACAAAAATTGCATTTTAATCCTTGCCCTCAAGAATACACATTCTTTTCATTAAACTTCACAAACACAGTCAATTCAATATTTTATTCTCATTTCACAAGTGAGCAAACAGGAATGCATGAGTCTTTCCTAGCCAGCTCCACGTCTTATGTGCGTTAGAGCATCGGGGGGTGCGGTGTGAGGTCCAATGGGCCTCCTGGTCTCACGAAGGACTTGCCAGATGTGGTCACCTGACTGCAGAGTCTACCTGGATGGAGGGGGCCAAAGAGGAGGCACACCTGCAGGAAGACGTGTGCGACAGCGGCAGTGTGTCCAGTGGCGGGAAAGGGAAAAGTGGCGTTAAAATCCAAGCATCCTATCTTAGGAGAGCCTTAACAGATCTTTTGAGAACTTCTTATTTTTACAAATGAAAACATCCAGCTCGTCGTCGGAAGCAGATTAACGGATGAGCTAGGGAAGCAGAAGTGTCAGCCCCCACCCCAGCCGGATTTGCAGGGCGTCCTGCTGGGATCTGATGGGGAGGTAGGAGAAGACCCAGGAGGGTGCCCCGGAGTGGGAGCGGCTGCCAGGTTGTTGCCCAGGCCCCATCAGGGAGGCCTGAAGAGGAGCCTGTTCCCTCTGGAACGCAAGGGGTTCGTTCATGCCCCACACTAAAGAGAGCTTGAGGAGCACGGGGATTTCCGGTGTAAACAGCAGCAGGCAGGGTGAGAGGCTCCATCAGAAGCAGCAGTGCCAACGTCTAGTAACGAATAAATGAACAAAAAAACAGCAAAGGGAACCATGAGCTAGGACCCCCTCAGGGACTATCCAGATTCCTGGGGATGCAGTCACGGCGAGCAGGAGAAGCCAGGGTGCCCACCGTGCCCACCCCGTCACGCCACCTGGCTCGCAGAGGCCTCTCTGCTCCTGGGGCTTCCCGTGCGGCTTGCCCTGGGATGGGAGAGGACGCAGGAGCTGATGATGCTGGAGCTGATGACGCCGGGGTTAAAGTCCCCGCTGCTCCTTCTCCCACTGAACCTAGGAACATCATCAGCAAACACAGCAGTTCACAACCACAGAGTTCTGGGATGAGCAACAATTACTGGTGATTGTCTTAGATGTTCTAGGGCTACAAAAACAAATACCATACCTCGGGCAGCGTAGAAACCAGAAACTTATTTCTCCAAGTTCTGGAGACTGGAAGTCCGAGACCAAGGCGCCAGCAGATTCGGCGTCAGGCCAGGGCTGCACTGTGGTTGGTAGACAGCGCCTTCTCACTCTGTCCTCACACGGGAGAAGGGGTGAAGGAGCTCTCTGGGTCCCTGTTATAGGGGCACGGATCCCATCACGAGGCCTCCTCACTTCCCACATGCCCCTCCCCCTCACACCATCCCGGTGAGGGTCAGGATTTCAGTGCACGCGTTTTCAGGGGACACGGTCAGGCAACAGCAATGATTATTTAGAATTTTATGAATATTCTGTTATAATTATGAGATGCAAACATCACATCCAAAAAAATAATAACTTAGACCAGTGGTGTTGATGAAGAATACTGAAAATATTTTTATACTGAGATAGGATTTCCCCAAAAACAACCACTAATATCCCCAGTTGAAAACGTATTACGATCAAGTTCTGCTATGAATTTTCCCATTTTCTTCAAAAAAAATTTTAAAACATGTATTACAAAAACAATATCTAGAAAGCTTAATTATATTAGTGCAGATATTAAAGAGATATTTCTAATAATTATGTAATCTGCCTGCGCTAGTAGAGTGTTTCTAGATATATCCCTAACACATATCTGCTCTCAGCAGATGGGGGAGCCAGAAGGGAGATGGTTTCCCCTGGAGTCGGGCGCGCGCTCCTCTGACTACCCCAGCCAAACTCCACCTTATTTTGCTGGCCATCATACCACTTAAGGACAGGGTCCATCTAACACTTAATATACAGGTGGAATACAATATTATATAGAGAGAGAATAAACATGTATGTTATATACATATATAAAACATTATAGGCCAGGTGCAGTGGCTCATGCCTGTAATCCTAGCACTTTGGGAGGCCGAGGCGGGTGGATCACCTGAGGTCAGGAGTTGAAGACCAGCCTGGCCAATATGGTGAAACCCTGTCTCTACTAAAAATACAAAAATTAGCCAGGCATGGTGGCACACACCTGTAATCCCAGAGGCCATAATCCTGTAATCAGGAGGGTGAGGCAGGAGAATCACTGGAACCCAGGAGGCGGAGGCTGCAGTGAGCCAACGTCGTGCCACTGCACTCCAGCCTGGGTGACAGAGCAAGACTCTGTCTCAAAAACAAAAAACACACACACACACACACACATTATATACAGAAGTTTTTCACCTCACCCATAGTTAAGTGCCAGACGGCCCCTGGCCTGTAGCACAGTGAGGACTCCGGTTGACCCGCATGTCCAGGAGCCCCTGGGAGGGAGGGAAGGCCCCTCAGAGGCTGAGGAGTTGTGAGGAAGCCGAGGCACGGGACTGCATGGAAGAGGCGCTCCGCACACAGGACGTGCCATCTTCAGCAAACAACCAACAGGACAGAAAAGGAGGCAGAGGCGCCTTCCTGCCCCGGAGGCCACCGGCCACGTCTGCCACATGTGCTCTGAAGAGCTGAGACTCATCCTGACGTCGACAAACCAGTGGCTGAGAAAAGTGAAGAGACACCGGGAAGTTTGCAAACAGATTAAATAGCTGGTGATATTAGAAAACTGTCTAAAAACTGTGGGTGAGATAAGGAGATTGCGGTTATGTTTTCACCCTTGAGACTGGGGAAGCAGGAGGGGCACAGGTGACTAGCCTGGAGAGACAGCTAAGTTTGGGGTGAGTTCATTATTCTGCTCTCTCTACTTTTGTACATTTGAAATTAACTTTTAAACCCAACCTTTCTATAAGCTTGATGCTTCCCATAATAAAGAAGATTTTTAAGCAACATTATCGCTCTATAAAAGTTTCAAAAAGCTCTGAAAGTTATACAATGAAGGGCAAACTTCCTCTGCTCTCAGAGCCCCAGCTCCCAAGATCCCCCCTGAGAGGCAGCTCCAGCCGAGCGCCCATGACCAGCGCTCACCACATGCATGAGTACACGGACACACACATGCACATGCACATGCACCCCGTGTGCATAACTGTCATACTGTACGCATTGGTCTTTTTGCTTTTTCTCATTGTCAGACAGCCTTTTGCTGGCAACCAAGCTAGTAAAATAATGCTAGTCTACCGCTTGCTTACCACTGCTTCCCTGCGGGGCTGGGACACTAGACAGTTGACTAATGGCCGTCCTGTGTCTTGTCCACAGCCTGTCAGGATGCCCGAGAGCCACGTCAGCGATGAAGAAGGCAAAGCTTTCTGGAGAGCAGATGCTGACCATCAAACAGCGGGCCAGCAACGGTGAGCACCCCCAGCCCTCGTGGCACACGTGGTCAGGAAGGCCCAGCGGGCACGGCCACGCCAGCTCTGTGTCCTTTAACAGATTCACTTTTCTTAGAAAGCAGGGGCAGGGATAATTCTGGCCCTCTCATCTATAAAGCTAAGCATCTTGAGAAAAAAAGCAGGCTTTCTCAAAACCGTCTCCCCCCTTCACCAACTTCACTACTCGCTGGAATCACAAGCCCAAGTCCTGAGGGTCTCTCCAGCACTGGTCAGTTTGCTCCCTGGAACCCCAGTGTGCCCACATTTCTGCCTCTGTCCCTCAGGCCCTCATCTGCAGTTTCTCCATCCAGGAGCAGCTTTGGGGCCCCCCAGGCCACAGATAACAAGGATGGTACCCCCTCCCCTGTTGCCCTCACTCTCCGCATGTCTAGTGCCTGATTTTCTTGATTCCACCTGCAAATCTGTTTTGTTCTGAGGGTGTCTCTTGTCACCAACTGGCACAGGTGTGTAGAGAGTTCTGCAGAGGAAAATTGGGGGCCTCTGGAGGAGCAGGAGAGAGGAGAGCCACTTAAACCCTTAGAAACATGCACAGTCCACTCTCACGACCTGAGGACTCTATTTGCGAGTTCACCTCCCTGCTAAAATTAATTTGTAGACACAGGCAGTGATCTCAGTGCTTTTGTAGTTACTCCTGTGCATTCACAGAGCAGCTGAAGTGTCTGGTGTTCCTAAGTGCAGGGGGCTGTGATGTGCCTCACAGAGAAAACACACACGTTAGCCAGGCTCCCTTCGGACAGGAGTGATGGTTTTGACTGTTGGCTCTGAGTTCAATGTTAAGGAATCCACAGTGTCTATTAAATAAGTTGTCTTTAAATTGGAGCACACATAAAACAGGTGTATTAGTCCATTCTCATACTGCTATGAAGAAATACCCGAGACTGGGTAATTTATAAAGGAAAGAGGATTAATCGACTCAGAGCTCCACATGGCTGGGGAGGTCTCAGGAAACCTACGATCATGGCACAAAGGGAAGCAAACATGTCCTTCTTCACAAGGCGGCAGGAGAAAGAAGTTCAGAGAGAAGTGGGAAAAGCCCCTAATAAAACCTCCAGATCTCATGAGAACTCAGTATCAGGAACAGCATGGAGGTAACCACCCCCATGATTCAATTACCTCCCACCAGGTCCCTCCCAAGACATGTGGAGGTTATGGGAACTATAATTCAAGATGAGATTTGGGTGGGGACACAGCCAAACAATATTAACAGGTTTTTTTATTTTTCAACTGACAAAAATGGGACCAGAGGCTGGCAGGAGCTTGGCCCCTTGTTTCCAGAAGCAGTGATCCTGCTCTCAGCCTGTGAGCAGGTAACTTTACAGCGCATGGCCCCTGGGAATAATGAGATCAGCTGTAACCTGTAGCCACTGAGCAGACTGGTCCCCTTCACAGCAGAAGCCCAGCCTCCCCTTCTCAGCTCTCACTTGCAAGATGCACCCCTAATTTTGTATTTCTAAAAGGAGCCTGCAAAGCTCTTCAAGCACCACAAAGCACGGGATGCCCTGGGCTGAAGGCTCCCAGACCTATGATGCACAGATCCGTCCTGTAAAGCTGACCCTGGGCAGAACCTGGGACCTCCTGCTGTACGTTTACCAAAGGGCACCTCCTCCCCAAATCCACCGAGTGAGCCACACCTGAGCAGCTCCCAAGCATGCAGGCACGAAGCCCCTGGCCACAGCCATGGGGGTCTCCTCTCATCTGTTATTGGTGGTCCTGAGGACAGCATGAGAGATGCCTGCATGTCCCAGGTGTGTGCCTGCAGGATTCCCTGTGCCAGCAGCCAGCACAAACTATTCCTCAACACGTGGCCCATTGTTCACCAGAAAGGTCATCAGCTTCCTGATATTGGTCCTCAGAGTCTGGGGCTCCTGGAGGCATCCTGCCTCCCAGGCTGCTCCTGTCAGTTTCTACCTTCCAAATACCCTGACCCACCCGCACAACCTCTCCCTGCGGGTACAGTCCCAAGCAGCCAGTGTAAGGACCCTGCTTTTGAGATACCAGGATAGCCAACGTTCGCTTCCCAGTTAGTATGGAGTAGTGTTCCTTGCCAGAAAGAAAACATTCCCTGAGCTCCATCCACATGCCAGGCGCTTTTCAAAATACTTAGAGGGCATTTCACCCCTGAATAACCCTGGATTAAAGCGGAAATCCTTAGACAATTGATCTGAGTCCATGTGCCTTTGTTCCCCATTAATGAAGGACGTGGCGGTTAGGTTAGGTAGTCCAGTTCAAAACAGAAAAGGAAAGAAAGCATGGAGAGAACAAATCTGCCGACCCTAGAGGAGGAGCCATTCACACCTGGGCTAGTCCACCTGGGCAGCGGTGGGCAGATCCCTGAGGTGGCCGTCTCTTCGTTGTCGGGCCTGAGTCGACATTTAGGGCACTAGACATTCCCATTACTGCCGCACACAAGGAGTTAATTCACAAAAACAGGTGCTAACTCGGAGGGATGAAGATAAGCAGTTGGTCTGTGACTCTAAACTAGAGGAACCAACAACTGGGCTTCATGCCACCAGAAAGCAGCCAGGGCACAGGCACTCCAGGGTCACCAGCCACCCGCTGGGCCCAGCTCCTGCTGCTGGCCAGCCTTCAGCCAGGTCGCTGCATTTCACCCGAGCTGCTGGACACACAGTTCGTGTAGTGCTAAGTTTCAGGACAGAAACAGTTCCCCTTCTGCAGATCCTAACGCACGCACGTCCACGGGTGAAAAAGAGGAGCTGCAGGTCACTGGGAGAACAGGTGGTGGAAGTGGGTCCCACCCAGGTCTTCCTAAGTCCAGGTGGGTGCTGACGCCTGGGGCTGTTGATTCCTGACACTGTTGGCACCAAACCGAGAGAGTTCTTACCGACCCCCAGAGCACAGTTGTGTGCCCAGGCATCATTTCCGTGTATGTGTAGCTAATCCAGGAAAGGGGATCTTTCCTGCTGCTTTTCAGAGGACAGAGGCACAGCATCCAATTTCTGCTGCCGTGGTACCATTCTTCGCGTCCAAAGCTCTATGTTCCTGTTGCCTTTGCCACAGATGTGGAAAAGACAATCCCTCTCTTTCTTTTTTTGGACTGGATCTCACTCTGTCACCCAGGCTGGAGAGCAGCAGCACGATCTTGGCTTACTGCAGTCTCCGCCTCCCAGGGTCAAGCGATCCTCCCACCTCAGCCTCCTGAGTAGCTGGGACTACAGCTGTGCACCACCACACCCAGCTAATTTTTGTATTTTTGGTAGAGATGGGGCTTCGCCATGTTGCCCAGGCTGCTCTCAAACTCCTGAGTTCAAGCAATCTACCTGCCTCCGCCTCTCAAAGTGCTAGGATTACAGGCGTGAGCCACCGTGCCTGGCCTTAAATATTTTAATAGAGACGAGATCTCACTATGTTGCCCACTAGGTTGCTCTTGACCTCCTGAGCTCAAGCAATCTGCCCACCTCAGCCTCCCAAAGTGCTGGGATTACAGGCATGAGCCACCATGCCCAGCCTTCTTTTCTTTCATATCCTGAGTGTAAAGCCTTTCCTGGGGTCATTTTCTCACGAGATGCTCAGCAGCTTCCCTGCGTGTGAGGCCCAGATACTGTGCGGGACAGAGAAGCCACTGGGACCCACCGTGAGGCACTGACTCGGCCAGGGAGGCCCCTGGCACCGGATTTTAGTTCTTTCTCTTGAGCATTTGTCTGACAGGGAAGTAGCTGTTCCAGATGTCCTTGAGGTTCCCTTCTGGCTCTAAAGTATTTTTCTTTCTTTCTTTTTTAAGTTTAGGGACGAGCCTACTCTCGTGTCTCTCCCCGACAAGGATCACCTTATTTTCTTTATCCGTGGAGTGATCTCATCACGCATTAGCACTCAGCTCTGCCTGAGCAGCCGGGGTGACCCTGTTAGTGAATCTCCCTTCAGAACCCTTTTGCAGTTCGCCGTACGCCTCTTAGCGCCTTGGCACCTTGGCTGAAGTTGTACAATCAGTGGCTTTTTGGGGGGTAGTGGGGGCAGGGGCAGTGTTTAGGAGAGAAGGAAATAAGATAATGCTTTTTCTTTCCTTTTACTATCACAGCAGAAAGCAAGCTAGGGAAAGGAGCTCTAACCTCCATTGAGCCCCCGAAAACATGAAGCACTTTGTCAGGAACTTCATCTACTTATTTCGCTTAATATTCCTGAGAGCTCCAAAGTGTGGGAACTCACATTTCTACTTCAGCTGTAAGGAAGGAGAACGAAATTCCAGGAGGCTTGGAAATTCCACCAGGCCATTAGTGAGAGTGACCAGTGCTGGCCGGGTTCACCATGGGACGCTGGTCTCTCAAGCGTTACCAGGATCCTGAAATAAATCAAAATCTTCCAGGACCACGTTATGCTAATTTGAGTAGGATTTTTTTGCTTGTTTGGTGTGGTGTCCAGTGGGTGGATTTTCTGGCTCTGAGATGCTGCTTTTCAGCTGGGGCCCTCCCTGCTCAGGCCAGTTTTTTACAAAAGCAGTTTCTTCCTGAGGGCTTACAGGCCAACTGGTGGAATGTATTATAAAACCCTGTTTGTGGCTGGGCACAGTGGCTTACGCCTGTAATCCCAGCACTTTGGGAGGCTGAGGCAGGCAGATCACCTGAGGTCAGGAGTTCGAGACCAGCCTGGCCAACATGGTGAAACCCCATCTCTACTAAAAATACCAAAAATTAGCCAGGTGTAGTGGCAGGCGCCTGTAATCCCAGCTACTCAGGAGGCTGAGACAGGAGAATCGCTTGAATCCAAGAGGTGGAGGCCAAGGTCACGCCATTGCACTCCAGCCTGGGTAACAAGAGCAAACTCCATCTCAAAACAAACAAACAACAACAACAACAAAATTCTAGTTTCAGCCTAACCATCCACAAAGTGAGGCTCAGCTCAGAGGCCCCATCAACCCCAGGGACTGCTTCCTGGGCCACTCACTGCCCTGCTGCAGGGGGAAGGGAAATTCCCACCCAACCCAGAGCTCTCCTCTCCCTGAGGGGACTTCACACGTGCCTGGGGGCTCGTAGGCTGTCCCAGGGATGTGGCTGTGGACAGCTCTGCAGAATTAGTTTGCAGGCCCTCCTCTTCCACATTCCCTCATCCTCCAGAATCTTATGGGCCGGGTATGCCTCTGTGACCTGCCGGTTCTTCCTGGCACCGTTTCCCCGTCTCCCTCCTCCCCCTCACAAAGGAATGGCATGCTGTGTGGAGCCGCAGTGGGCAGCCGCAGGACTGAGATGTTCCCAGGCTCCCACAAAGGGCTGGTGGTGACCACTTGGGCCTGAGGGTGGTCCCCCAGGACAGAGCAGAGCTATGGAAGTAACATCCACCCATCCATCACTCCCAGAACAAAACTAGAGATGAAAGGTTGTCATGGGACCCATGTCAAGACTTTTGTTTGGATTTAAAATGACACTGACTTCTGTCAGAACAGTTGACCTGATCTGGCAGATCAGTTAGATAACCAAGCCTGATAGGCCAGTTAGTTTGACATTTCTCATAAATTATTCAAACTAAACATCCCCGTCCAAGGTTTTTGATAGAAACATATTGAAAGGCCTCTGCAAGATGGGATCCCTAGGAACGTGCTTGAGAAATTTGCCCGTGACGGCTGTAGACAGTGGAAGCGTCACCAGGTCCAGTGTTCTGAGGGCCTCCTTCACACGGAGGGGTTCTAAAGGCATTTGGATGCTTGCAGTTTAACAGAAGCTTATGGGGAATGCTTTTTAAATGATACATTCATTCATAATTTAGTTGCTTTATGAATTGGGATGTTTTTGCATTGGGTATTTTTATCTTGGGGGTATAATTTTTTTTTTTTTTCTCATTTCACTAAAAGCAGCATCTAAGGCCCAATCCCACTGATCCGTCACTTTCTCTTGCTCTCATCTTTCTGACGTCTCGGTAGAGAGGAGCCTCCACCTCTGTCCTGCTGATGTCAGCAGGGGTTTGGGGTGCTTTCAGGCCTCAGACTCTGGTTGATTGTACCCCTTCTTCCCTTCTGTCTGCAAAGCTTGAAAACAGCATCTACCTACTGGGAGCCTCCTAGGCCTGGATACATTTTCCATTAGTTTTGAGTAAAGATCCATTGTGGGCCGGGCGCGGTGGCTCAAGCCTGTAATCCCAGCACTTTGGGAGGCCGAGACGGGCGGATCACGAGGTCAGGAGATCGAGACCATCCTGGCTAACACGGTGAAACCCCATCTCTACTAAAAAATACAAAAAACTAGCCGGGCGAAGTGGCGGGCGCCTGTGGTCCCAGCTACTTGGGAGGCTGAGGCAGGAGAATGGCGTAAAACCCGGGAGGCAGAGCTTGCAGTGAGCTGAGATCCGGCCACTGCACTCCAGCCTGGGCAACAGAGCCAGACTCAGTCTCAAAAAAAAAAAAAAAAAAAAAAAAAAAAAGATCCATTGTGGTGCTGTAGAACCAATGAGAACAGCAATCTCAAATCCTGAGTTTTCTAGGGTGATTGCGTTTGCCAAACTCCTGCTCTCCTTCTGTGTACACCCAATTGTGTGAGGTCAAGTGGTCACAAACAGAGAGGAATCTCCATATCTTTGGCGTTGGCAGTGTAATGTTGCCAGTAACCAGACACAGCCGGTCAGGGAAGCAGGTGTCCAGAATGTCCTTTGTAAATACGGGCATCTGGGCCCTGTGCCCAGCTATGCCAGGACTGATCCATGTGCCCCGTGGACCTCAGCAGGGCAGCTGTCACCCACCAGGGACACTCAGATGGTCAGGTACACACCTGGCTGAGGTCGTCATTCTGGCAGAGTTTACAAATTGGGAATTCTGTTAGTTAATACATATTTTTTTAATAATTCAGAATGAGATTTTTTTATTCGCTAAATGTCGAATATTCAGAGAGCCCTTTTGTGGCCATCTCCCTCCAGCCAGTCCCCATGTCCCTCTCCCACTTCCCACAGCTTCCTGTTGGTGGATGAGGTGAGGTCATCCTCAGCATTTGCTGGACTGCATTTGTGGTTACATGTCTGTTGCCCATTTTCCGACCCAGAACCTAAGCTGAGTGAAGGCAGGGAGGGCCTGGCCTTGTTGGTGAATGTGCCTGCAGAGCCTGGCCCCAAGCCTCGGGTGTTTGCAGAATGTCTGATGCAGAGAGCGAGTTGGGAGAGAGAACAAAGGCAGGAGAAAATAGGCCAGGCTCAGCAGATCAGCACCCAGGACCAGGTGGTTTCTGCCTCGTGTCCCAGGGATATATGTAAGACCCAGGTTAACTGTCCCAGGGAGCTCGACCCTCAGAGTGCCCGGGAGTCTCCTGTGTGTCTCGATTGTTTTTGTGGGGGGACTTAGCTGGGGAAGGGGCAGTGGTAGGGAATAGAAAGACTCAAGATTGTGATGATTTTTTCCTTTCTAATTCAAGAGTCTATTTTCCAAGCAAATTCAATTACAAATGTAAAAGGAACAAAGAAAACTCCCAAAATTTTAACTCTAATATTTTTGTATATAATAGTTTTAACATACTAATATTCATTATTACAGGTATAGAAAATGATGAAGAAATCAAACAGTTAGATGAAGAAATCAAGGAGCTAAATGAATCCAATTCCCAGATGGAAGCCGATATGATTAAACTCAGAACTCAGGTAACAGTTTTTGAAGCCCTCAATTTTAGCTCTAACACATGCTATTATACCAGAGATACATGGCATGAAATCGGCTTTTAGGAGAGCTGTCGTTTCCGCCTTCTTTGCTCTTTTACTTCCTTTATTTTTCCACCTTATGATGTTGATCTTCCACGGACACCATTCCATGGCCGTGTTCGCTGTAGCAGGGGCCATGGTTCTCTCGTTTTCAGTCTGCACCTGTGTCTGTGTTTTTTAATAAAGTGCATTTGTGAATAGGCATTTTCAGAGGATCACCTGTTCCTGCAAACAATGAGGGTTTTCCTTCCAAGATACTTCAGGTCCTTGTGTTATTTAATCACTATATTAAATGGATAGCGACAGCCGAGGTTCCCAGAATTTAAAACAAGGAGTGCCTGCCACATAGGACTCCTGGGTGTCTGGGGTTTGGGGAAGCAGCCCCAGTGACTTGCGGCTGCAGAGCCTGGGGTTGGGAAGAGAGAGAAGTGGCAGCTGGCAGAGCAGCTGTGGTCACCTAACCCCCTCCGTGCCCACAAGCAGCCCACAGGATAAACATCCTCAGCCTCATCTTAAACATACAGCTTCTAAGACAGAGAGGCAGCTTCCTCAGCCAAGCCGAGGCCACAGAGGCCAGGCTGGACCCTGTCTGACCGTGAGCCTTGTGCCTGGCATCCCCCACCTTGCTGCGTTAGGGTCCCAGTCGCCTAAGTACACTCTGGGAGTGGAATTTATTTGCTGACCACTCGACCCTCACATTGCCCACAGGGTGAGCCAAGGTGTCCTGTCTTCTTAGAAATGAGGTCTCCATTCCGGCCCCTCCCCGGCAGGCCATGGTGTGATGAGGTTCTCAGAGGATGCTGACCAGCCTCCAGGAAGGTTGCTCAGTTTGCTGGGAATGAGCCCGAGGACTGGATGGAAATGAGGATGGTGACACCACCGGCCACCTACGTGATGATGCTGTCCTCCTAACAAACTCTGAGGGGCTCCCTTATTATCCCCCCTCCATAAATGAAGAGGCTGAGGCTGGGGAAGGTTGAGGGCCTTTCCCGTGGTCAGTGAGGTGTGGTCAATGGCTCTGTTCTGCTCAACAGGTGGTTTCCACCCACTGGACACAGCTTTCCCAAGGATGGAGACATCCTCTGGGGCTGGGGCCCCACCAAGCAACCGAAAGGGATTTACAGGCCCCCCTGTGGGTACCAAGGATGAGGCCAAGGGCAGGAACTCCCCACAAGGCCATGTGGCTGCTGCCTGGGCATTTTGATGCCAACCTATTTCCCCAGAGGGCATCACTGCCTTGATCTGACCAACCTGGTAGCCCCAGGGGCTGTGTTCAGGCCTTCCTAGAATCTTACATTGGCCTGGCTGGGGCCCACCCAACACAGGTTGGAATTTCCCTTAAGACTTACCCGAATGTTGGGCTTGGGGAATAGAGTAACAGCCTGTGGCATTTCTCAGCCCCAGGACCAGCCGAGGCCATGGAAGCGGCATCTTGGACTGTATAGGAGACTCCATGGCTACCGGAGCACCCACGAGCTGCTGGTTCTGGGAGAGAGTAGGAGGTGACCTAGTCAGCAAAGATTGTTTAACTGGGACAGATCAATTCACCCTTGAGTATTACTCCGTTCTCACACTGCTAATAAACAACCTGAGACTGGGTAGTTTACAAAGGAAGTGGGTTTAATGGACTCACAGTTGTATTCTGTTTATGAGGGCGACAAGCCGAAAATCTTAATTTATTTCCTCCTTTGAATGGCACCTCTCGGGGCACTCTCTGATGAGGCAGAATGTCCTTGTCTGTCCAGGGTGTTGAGTCCGTGGTCTACTGGGGCAACCCAATTCCAACAGGATGCCCTTCAGGAAGCGGGTTCTTCCCACTTTCCAAAACCCCTCCCTCCGCAGTGAAGGCCTGCTGCTCCATGGCCGTCCATGAGGGACGGATGGCAGCTCTGATGCCAGCTGTGGATGAAGCACTGGGGCTGGGGCTTAGCCGAGGGCTGAGTAGGCTTAGAGGTCATGTCGCCTGGGTCTGAGCCCTAGGAAACAACGCATGTGCCTACGCAGGCTGCTTAGAGCACTCTCTGCACCTGCACGGGCGTAGCCTCCCCCTCAGGAAGCACTCAGGTTTGTGTCCCTTCTCACTGGTTCCTTTCTGCCTTTCTTTATCTCTGAGATGAGTAGTTGCTCCTAACAGCATGTATTTGGACCTAATGTCAAAAATGAATGTGTAGAGTTCACATGTATTCTCACTGACTCGGCTGATGAGAGAGGTGACTTCCCAGATGTGCCCAGGGATGGACCTTCCTCTATTCTAGAAGAGACAGGAATGTGCTGAGCCAGAGTCCCCCAGCTCTGCAGCTCTCAGCGACGGATGATGAGCTCCAGTCCACAAGTTGTTTTGTGAGCACCAGGCCTGAGCTCGGAGACAGGCAGCTGCTGACGCAGGCAGCTTAGAGCCTGATACTCCTTAAACGGGTTAGACCTGGGGCAAAACTTAACCAGAAAACAATGTGCACCCACAGCCAGGAGCCCTCCTTGCTGTCTGTGCCACGGCCACTGCCCGGGGAGTATGGAGGAGGAACATGGGGCAGGCCAGCTCTCCAGGGCATAACGCGGCCCTGCCTGACGGCCTTGGCCTCCCTGCAGCAGCCTTCACGCCCTTTGCATTTTCCTTTAGAAGGTCCGGACTTTCCCATGCCTCTCAGGCCCTCACACCCTCAGGGAGCATGGCCAGGAAGGGGAACAGGCCCAGATCCCGTGTTTTCTTGTCCACTCTGACCCAAGAGAAAGGCAGACTTCTCCCACTGCCCCATGACATGTTCAAGACACACTGACACGAGGATGCAGGCCTGTGCACAGAGCCCATGCCAGAGATGACACAGGGCTGTAGGCCTGTCCCAAGCCCAAGCCATGAGATAGATGAGAAGTGGATGCCACGGCCCGATGTTCTCTCTGCAATGGGGACAGACGGAAGAACGGTAGAGTCAGTGCTCAGGCCTGCAGCCCGGTGATGAGGGTCCTGCACAGGGAGGGGTCTAGATTTTAATCTGGTGAAGAACAGAGCCAAGAGAAGGAGAAAGGAGACTCCGTCCAAACCTTTAAATTTCACGCCTGTGCCGGACGGGGGAGACCCCCGCGCCTGTGCCGGATGCTGCAGAAACCGCCACACCTGTCCTGTGCCCCATGGTGGGGAGACTGCAGCGCCTGTGCCGGATAAGGGGGAGACCGCAGCGCCTGTGCCGGATAAGGGGGAGACCCCCGCGCCTGTGCGGGACGGAAGGAGACCGCCGCGCCTGGGCCGGATAAGGGGGAGACCGCCGCGCCTGGGCCGGATAAGGGGAGATGCCCGCGGCTGTGCCGGATAAGGGGGAGACCCCCGCGCCTGTGCCGGATAAGGGGGAGACCCTCGCGCCTGGGCCGGATAAGGGGAGATGCCCGCGGCTGTGCCGGATAAGGGGGAGACCCCCGCGCCTGGGCCGGGTAAGGGGAGACCCCCGCGCCTGTGCCGGATAAGGGGGAGACCCTCGCGCCTGGGCCAGATAAGGGGGAGACCCCCGCGCCTGGGCCGGATAAGGGGGAGACCCCCGCGCCTGGGCCGGATAAGGGGAGACCCCCGCGCCTGGGCCGGATAAGGGGGAGACCCCGCGCCTGGAGACCCCGTGGCCGATAAGGGGAGACCCGGCCTGGCCGGATAAGGGGGGGGGGGGGGGGGAGCCGCGCCTGTGCCGGATAGGGGGAGACCCCGCGCCTGGGCCGGGGGGGGGGGGGGGGGGGGGGGGGGGGGGGGGGGGGGGAGACCCCGCGCCTGGGCCGGATAAGGGGGAGACCCCCGCGCCTGTGCCGGATAAGGGGGAGACCCTCGCGCCTGGGCCGGATAAGGGGGAGACCCCCGCGCCTGTGCCGGATGGAAGGAGACCCCCGGGCCTGTGCCGGATAAGGGGGAGACCCTCGAGCCTGTGCCGGATAAGGGGGAGGCCGCCCCTGCCACTCTCTGCGGAAGGGGTTTTGTGTTACGTCTCAAGCCCAGGAGTGCTCTTACTAAAACTTGGAAAGGTTTTTTTCACTGTTCAGTTGTGAGAATTCAAATTAGGACAAACGCAATTTTATTTCATTGAGAAGATTAGTTTTCCAATTTGGAATGTGTTTAAACACTATTTGGGGTCCAATTAGTGCGACCAAATACAATTCCTATGTGGCTGAAAAATCCGTTCTTATGCTTGGCAGCTTGAAGAGTGGGTCTCAGGGACTTCACCCCACACAAACGCAATCAGAAGTCCCGACACCGGCCGGGCGCGGTGGCTCCCGCCTGTAATCCCAGCCCTTTGGGAGGCCGAGGCGGGCGGATCACGAGGTCAGGAGACCGAGACCATCCTGGCTAACAGGGGGAAACCCTGTCTACTAAAAATACAAAAAAAAAATTAGTTGGGCGCGGTGGCGGCGCCTGTAGTCCCAGCTGCTCGGAAGGCTGAGGCAGGAGAATGGCGTGAACCCGGTCAGGCTTCCTCCCGGGGTGGCCCAGCACCAGCAGAACGGCCGAGGTGTCTGTGGGATCTGCTGTTTCCCCAACTGCATTCAACTGGATTCAGTGTGGCCTCAGCTTCAGGGGCTGGGGCACCCACGCCGGGCACACCCACGCCTTGGTTCTGGACTCCAAGATTCCCCAGATACATCTCATCCGATTCAACTCAGTTCCCACCAGACCCCAGATCAGAGACCAGAAAAGCTTGCCCTTGGCCCCAGGGGACGCCCAGAAGTTGCTTGTTATCAGAATCCGGAGGAAAAGAAGACTGCCACTGCGGAAGAGAGAGCAGGGGACTCAAGTGCTGGGCGCGGCCCGGGCAAGCGGCGTTTGTGTGAACTACATGAGTGCTGAGGGCCTGAGTTCGAGACCCCACCGTGGGGGACTGGAGCAAGGAGACCGAGGAGAGATGATGGGAGTCCTGCAGACACGGGAGGTGGAGAAGGGAAAAGAGCACTCCCGGCACAGGAAACAGCAGGAGCAGGAGGAGAATGGCTCAGAGCTGGCTGGGAGGCTGGGATGTTGTCCCCCGTGGCTCAAACAGTGCAGGCATTTGTCAAGGAGGTGGGGGCGGGGGTATTTGAGTATAAAAGGGAGCTCGTGTTTTCAGGCCAGGCTATTCTCACAAGAAACCCCCCAGCTCCTGGTGCGAGGGCCCAGATGGACCAGCATGAACAGCCCTGTGAAGCTTGACTTCTTCTAAGGTTGGCAGCTCAGTTAATCCCACAGCCTGCACCACTTTCAGATGATGGCTGTTCTCCCTGGAGCTAAGCCTCTCTGTGGTCCAGCCTCCCTGGTCAGCACCGGCATGGGCAGGAGCCCGTCCTCCCTGCACGAGGACACTTTCCTTGGGGTTACGCCCTTCCACCGCCCCACTGCTAACGCCTTGCGATTCCCACCCATTTTACTCTTCTTCCGGAAATGTTTTCTAAACACATCACGCCATCCAGGTACTTAGTCTAGACCAGGTATTGGCAAACATTTTCTACAAAGGACCAGATGGCAAATATTTTAGGCTTCTGGGCCACGCAGTTGTGTTGCAGTGTGACAGCCTCACAACACATGTGTGTGTGACCCTGTTTCAACACAGCGTCACATGGTTCTACAGTTGGAACTTAATAGCTCTTCTATGTTACAAAATGCTGTTATTCTTTTGTTTTTTTCTTACCACTAAAAACCGCAAATGCCATTCTTAGCTCAGTCTTAGCTTTCAATGTCAGGCCCTGGGCTAGATTTGACCTTTCTCTGCTCCAGGTGTGGTCAGAGGCTGCACAGTCTAAGAAATGCTGAGGTCCAGAAGGACAGAGGGTGTGGACAAGTCTGTAAAAATGTGGGTTTGGACCTAGACTGGCCATCAGGCTGCTGCTGACGCGGGAACTTTCTTGGGAAGATCCGGGAATGCACTGCTTCCTAGCAGCCTGAAAAACTTTTGGTGTTTCTTAAAACAATCAAAAACAGGACCCACGGTCGTCAGAGGGCTCCCCACTTTACCACAGGCGACTCGATGGTTCTAGAAATGCAGACTCAGATTCGCCAGTGCACATCGCTGACGATGGCAGAGGTGGCCGGCCCAGCTCCCAGCCAGGCCCCCAGACCCACTCATGACCCAGGCCCCTCCCCGTGTAAGCACCTGTGATCAGGGATGCCTTCCGAGTGCCAGGAACCACGTACCGTGGCTGCTGTGGGTTGGGTTTGGAAGAGAGACACTGGCCTCTGTGGCCCTCCCCAGCCTGCTCAGCCCCATCCTCAGAGGAGGCCTGGCGTATGAGGGGCTGGGCGGAGTCCCTGCATCACCTTGCTCGGCAGCGCTGTCTCCCATGACACCACAGCGTGCTGGCCAGCTCCAAGATGTTCTGAGAGGGCTCTCCGTTACTCTGGGCCCCTAAGACTGGGTCAGAGGCCCCAGGAATAACAAATGTTTTCTCACTGCAAACATGCCTCACATCTCAGTGTGAGTGTATGTTGTGGGCAAGGAGCATTACTCCCATTTTCCAGAAAAAGAGTCCACAATTTGCCTGGCTAGGATAGTAAGGAATGGGTAACAGTGACCCTGAGACACAGCTTCTTGCCACCCTGGAGGAAGGCCTCAGGCAAGCAAACGTGTCCCGTGCGAGAAGCCCGGGGCCCTGTGTGTGTGGGCTGGAGATGCAGGAGATTCAGGGGCCGGGGGGTGTGCTTGAGGGAGGTAAGGCTGTGAGACCTGGCAGATACCCATCAGTTCTGGTTTTGGGTCTCCAGGCATCCCCTCTGACCTTGGACTGGGCTCACCACACAGCCTGGTTCAGCAGATGATCATTTTGGCCAGGGCTTTGATGGGATGTTTGTTCAAACTGCATATTTTGTTCCACTGCTAAGTGGATTCAACACAATGAGATTTGTTCCATTTTGAGAAAATCAAAGCATTTGTAAGCACGGGAGCCCTCCCACCCCCACCCCAGCCACAGACCCGGGTAACATGGGAAGGAACAGCCTAACTCCTGAGTCTCACAGAGAGTCCTGAGCACAGGAGCATGTCTCAGCCTCTGCAGAAGGGGCTAGACTTTCCAGCAGGGAACATAGGTTGAAGAAGGAATGGATCTAAAATGTGTCCCCATGAATTTTGCTGGGGACGATGAGACAGGGTGCTACCCCTGCCTTGGGCACCCCACAGGCTGCTTCTCTGCTAAGCCGAGGGAGCAGCTGGACTTCCCTTTACTCTGAGCCCCAAAGACCAGGTCAGAGGCCCCAGGAATAACAAATGTCTTCTCACTGCAAACACACCGCACCTGCCAGTGTGAGTTCGTAATGCAAGGAGCATTATGCCCATTTTCCAGAAAAAGAGCCCACAGTTTGCCCGGCTAGAATAGGAAAGAATAGCCAGAAGCACCTCTGAGACACTCAACCAGAGGTGAGCTGGGCTGGGCTCATCCAGGAGGGCCCGCTGAGGGCCAGCAATGGGGAGGCCTCTGCAGGGTTCCCTGAGCACAGACAAGGGGCTGAGGGGCCTGGAGCAGCGGCCATCTAGGAAAGCCACCGGGTGCACAGGGCAGGAGCCACCATCTGCTCAGGGAGGTGCCCATCCTGCTGCTGGCCTTCCCCCTGCGTGGGCCCTTTAACAACCTTGGGACCTGGGCAGTGGCGCCTCACCCGAGATTAGATTCCATCATAGAAAACCTATGTCTCTTTACACTGACATCATCTCTAGTGAGGTCCCAGCCACAGCTGCCACCAGCTGTGAGTGCAGGCACGTGGCCGCCCAGGAAGGGTTACAGAACGCTCTGGAAGACGAGCACGAGGCACGCAGCCCTTCGGGGCCCACCCAGGAGTCGTGGGAGGGCAGGCATCCACTCCTGAGCCTGCAAGGGGGCAGCTGGGAGGGGAACAGTAATTTGATAAATAATCCCAAGGAACACAAATGAGAAGGTCACCAAGGACGTGCATGGAAACAAAGCTGTGTGATTTCGGTGGGTTCTCCACAGGGCACCATCCCTGCAAGAATGGTGGGGGCTGCGATTCCTTCCAAGGAGAAGGCCCACCCTCCCCACTTCATCCTGGAGGGTATCTCCAAGGGGCACCAGTTTTCTAACAGAGGGTCTGTGCCTGGGGCTGGTGGGAGAACCCGGGATTTGACCCAGTACAGCCAAGGGAGGGCCAGAACATAGAAGACAGGACCAAGAGGGAGAGGAGGAGAGACTCTCATGAGAGGACTTGGGAATGACACGTCGGGGAAGGAGCGGAGAGGAGCGGGTAGGCCAGGCCAGCCCTGGACTCTGCGGGTCAGCTCGGTCTTCCAGAGAGAAGCCCCAGATCACGCACAGCAGAGGCACCCCTGGGTGGCCGAGGCAGACACCCCCACGGACAGGGCAGCTCCCTGCCTGCTGCGTGTGAAGTTAGTCCTGTGCCGTTAGAGGCCCTGACCTTGACCTTGATGATACTTAAATTATCTCTGGAATATGCAAGGAAGGGTCCGCGGTGGGCCTTTTTCCTTAGAGAAATGCAGGAAGACCACCCTGTGGGCACAGTGCCAGCCCGGTGCCATCTGAAGAGATAGTGACACCCCCACACAGAAATGAGCATTGGAGGACTTAGCTGTGGCAGAATTTGATTCAGGCTAGAAAGGAGAAGTATTTGCATCAAGTCAGTAAAACACTAAGCCCCCACACACTGCAGTCCCATCAGGCCAGCTGAGAGAACAGGATGGCGCAAGGAAACAGTCCCACTTCCCCAGTTGTCAAGTGCAGTGAATCCAAAGCATAGACAGCAGGTCCTTAAATGGCAAGCGCTCACCACTGAAGCCTTTTTCTTTCTTTCTTTCTTTCTTTCTTTCTTTTTCTTTTTTTTTTTTTTTTGTGAGACGGAATCTTGCTCTGTCACCCAGGCCGGAGTGCAATGGTGTGATCTCAGCTCACTGCAACCTCCGCCTCTCTGGTTCAAGCTGTTCTCATGTCTTAGTCTCCCAAGTAACTGGGATTACAGACGCCCGCCACCACGCCCGGCTAATTTTTGTATTTTTAGTAGAGACAGGGTTTCACCATGTTGGCCAGGCTGATCTCAAATTCCTGACCTCAAGTGATCTGCCTGTCTTGGCCTCCCAAAGTGCTGGGATTCCAGGCGTGAGCCACCGCGCCCGGCCCGAAGGCTTTCTCCTTCAGCGAGAGGCCCCTTCTTGGCACCCAGTAGGCTGTGGCCCCCGGCAACGGCCACGGGCTTCTAGGTCCTCCTGGTGTTACATGTCACACGCACTTGTGCGTTTCAGATTACCACGATGGAGAGCAACCTGAAGACCATCGAAGAGGAGAACAAAGTGATTGAGCAGCAGAACGAGTCCCTCCTCCACGAGCTGGCGAACCTGAGCCAGTCTCTGATCCACAGTCTGGCCAACATCCAGCTGCCACACATGGTAAGTGACTGAGCGCGCAAGGCAGGAATGTGGAGTCCTCACAGCGCACAGCCTAAAGTAGATGCCGTTTTTGTTGTTATTTTCATGGTTCTTCAGCCTTTGGCAAATGTTTGTGGTTACCACCCCGAAACCATACCGTTAACTGCTAGAAACATGGGCGGGGCTGACCCCATAAACTTAAGTGTGCTCTGAGCCGGCCTTTGAAATAGTATAAAACCAAGGGCACTATGCTATGATACTATTTTATGCTTTTGTAAATATACTATTAAGAAAATAAAAGTTGTATATGAACTACTATTTAATATCTCGTAGGATCCAATCAATGAACAAAATTTTGATGCTTACGTGACTACTTTGACGGAAATGTATACAAATCAAGATCGTTATCAGAGTCCAGAAAATAAAGCCCTACTGGAAAATATAAAGCAGGCTGTGAGAGGAATTCAGGTCTGAACAGCTGCTGTAGTGATGAAACTCTTGCTTAAAAAGGATGCCTCTTGTTTTTTGCTGCTGTAACTTTCCAGAAAGTGTTCTATATTTATTTCTGTTTGAAACAGTGTTATGCTTACAAGACTTCATAATGATTTTATGTCTTGCTTTAAAGATAGTACCTGCAGAATAGTTTTTGAATACACCCACATTTTGTACGTTTCCATGTAAGCTGACATAGTGTTCTGCCATGTAATGTTTATAGCTGCTGATGTATGCACATTTGGGGGTATATCTATTTCTGAAGAGGTAAGCTGATCAAAATAAATAGAGTGTAAATTCTTTTTAATGCTTTAGTGATTAAATGTTTTAGTATTTTGAACTGAAATGGACACACACACACACACACACACACACACACACAGCTTTGAATGACCATGTTGTGGCCAAGCAGCCGCTTTTTAGACGTTATCATTTTGCCTCATGTTGGGGGACTTTATGGAATTTAAGAAATACATTTTGTGTGCATATTGTTTCATAGCAAGAATTGGTTGCAAAAATGCTTTATTTTTGAACAATGCTTGGAAATATTATGTGACTTTTTTGTTTGTTTGTTTTAGGAGGATGGTGTATGGTGGGGGCAATAAATGAGGTTTTTTGCATTCCAAGGAAATGGCATATGGATTAACTGTAAGAAATGAAATAAGTAATTTATTGTAAGACAACATCAAGCCATGGAAACTTGGCAGAAGATTCAAAGCAGCTTAAACAGCACTTTTAAATTAACTCCTAAGCATTACATGGTGTGACTATGGAAACTCCAGTTAAGACAGGATCTTATCAGAGGTGGACAACGTGAAGATTTCCTTTTCCATTTTCAATAAACTTTGGAACAACCTTCTCGTATCTCCCCTAGAGTTTCGTGCCCCTCTGAACTGTCTGTTGTTGCAATGTAGTTTATCAACAGAATTTGTGTGTTTTCGATTTAAGCTAAAAGATAATTTAAGAACATTTATTTCCCCTTTTCACTTTAAAAAATTATGATTATTCCTATTATTGTTATGAACCTTCTTATTTTACATTTGAGGGATAAAGGCAAATGATTTGTGAGTCTTCTAGTTACTGGACCGAGTTTTCTGCTGGATCTGGTGGGAAGGCAGCTCGGTCAAGTTTCTCTCCTGCTCCCCCTGCCCGACTTTGACTCTGAATAAGCATTTGGTCCTATTCAGAGGACTCTTACCACGACGTTTCTGTTCTACACTTGGCTGGAGACCAGTTGACCATAGAGCATTTGCAGAGCCTTGTTGTTTGATTTCTTGTGACTATTCTAAGAATGAATGCAATCAGATTTTAAAAGTAACTAAATATACTTCAGCACTTTTTTGCTTTAAACTAGATCATCTTAGACTTGTTTATATCTTCCAGATTTGATTGTTTTACTCCCAATGACTGCACTATATGTATGCATAAGACCACTTTTGAGCGCTGCGTTCCCCCTTCTGAGTAGTCCTTTGACGATGTGTTGTGTTTTCTGATGTTGACTTGATTTCCATTTAATAGCATCTCTTCCTTCCATGTCTTGATGTTATGCAGGAAGTACAGACGTACTTTAAATTTTTGTTATGAAATAAAAAAAAAAGATGGGTTTTGTAAAAATAAAAAAAAAATATTTTTAGCAGAACAGGACTTACAGGGTCATTGTCCCCACAATGTGCCAGTCGACTATTTGCACTTACCTTGTCCTATATATCCGTACGGAGGTGTGCAATTCCTCGTGTCAGTAGCCTTGTGACACTGAACCTGGATGGATGATAGAGGAGCCCTCACGGCCGATCAATAATGTTGCGAAGGGAGACTACAGGGATCTCACGACAAATATTCTGATACAATACTCAACCTCGGTATATATATATATGTATAAATATATGTATATCCCAGCGGCACTTTATACTGTTCACTGTACAAAAGCTTACAGTTTTCCACAAGGACTTTACTAACTAGCTGGGAAAAAGATGATGTAATTACTTCGGGGCTCTGCGGAACCTTCTCTGTACAGCGCCCCCTTTCTGTTGTGCTATTGGTTGCAGCTGCCATGCTCAGAATGCGTTTGAGAGCTGAAGCAAGGTGCTTGCAGTCACCTGAGGCCGTCCGTGTGGCCCAGGGCCCCAGCCGCCTTTAGGGCCCCCATTGTCCATAACAGCATATGCATTTCCCCACCGCGTTGTGTCTGCAGCTTCTTTGCCAATATAGTAATGCTTTTAGTAGAGTACTAGATAGTATCAGTTTTGGATTCTTATTGTTATCACCTATGTACAATGGAAAGGGATTTTAAGCACAAACCTGCTGCTCATCTAACGTTGGTACATAATATCAAATCAAAAGTTATCTGTGACTATTATATAGGGATCACAAAAGTGTCACATATTAGAATGCTGACCTTTCATATGGAATTATTGTGAGTCATCAGAGTTTATTATAACTTATTGTTCATATTCATTTCTAAGTTAATTTAAGTAATCATTTATTAAGACAGAATTTTGTATAAACTATTTATTGTGCTCTCTGTGGAACTGAAGTTTGATTTATTTTTGTACTACACGGCATGGGTTTGTTGACACTTTAATTTTGCTATAAATGTGTGGAATCACAAGTTGCTGTGATACTTCATTTTTAAATTGTGAACTTTGTACAAATTTTGTCATGCTGGATGTTAACACATCTTACTCTAAATAAAAAAGGTGTTGCCACATTTGTAGCACGAAGGATCTCTAACCCGGGTCTGCGTCTTCACTTGAGTCTGGGAAATGCTGTCTGGGGCCCGGTGGGATCCACTCGAAGCCTTTCACTCCAGCTTAGTTGCTTTTAACATTTTTACCAGTTTGGTTCTCAACTCTGAGGCATATAGGAGTCAATGACTTTTAGAAAACTATGTGTCTCGGCATCCCCACTGGGCCGTCCTTTTCCCATTTGCTGTTGCTCCTGCCCCTCACTGGGCCAGGCCATCTGAGAGCCAGCCTGGATGGAGGACACGGTGCCTCCCGGCACAGGGCTCCCCTGGACAGGGAATTCTCCGCCAGCAGCCCAGCAGCCACCACACTTGGGGGCGTTGCCATTGTGCTTTGGTCAACATCTCAGCGCGCCAGGCCGGGCAGTCACGTCCTTCGTAGAGGCTTTCTTCTTCTGGAATCCAGTCGAGGAGGTGCACTGCTCCCAGCTGTCCGTCCCTGCCCCTGTCTCTGTCCCTGTCACCTTATTACTGAGCAGTTTCTCAGCCTGCCTGTCTCCCAGATCACAGACAGTTTTCAACTGCCCAGGACCGTTGTTTTACAAAATGTCCCCAACTGGCTGCCACCTCCTGACTGATTCAGGTTAACTGGGAGACGTGTCCTTCTCCAGTTTCAGGTCAGGGGAGCAGAAGGACAGGCAGCCCATCGTTGGTTACCTGGTTGTTGAAAGATGATGTCTTGTTACTTCTGTGCTGTTGGCAAGGATCCCAGCAGCAAGTCACCCATAAAACTTAATTGCCCTTCAAATATAATTTAACAATGAATTACCCACTTTCACATCAACTGTATTAGTAACTGTCATGGTTTAAAATTCCAAAACTACCCTCCTCTCATAGACACAATCGCCCAAAATACAAAATTTGAGAAAGGGACTCTGATAACCTTGGTTAAATTTCATAATTTATTCCCAGTGGTGCCTTCAGCTGCTTCACGATTCAAGGTCCCCTGAGCACTTCTTACAAGCTAGTGTGTTCTGATGGCTCGTTGGCGACAGCACTGCCTCCTGGAAGTGCTGGTGATTGCAGTGAATCCCCTTCCAGTCCTCGGTAGAGTCCTCAGAGCTGACAGAAGAGAGCGGCGACTCACTCCTGCGACCCTGCACCTCTGCCTCTCTAGACCCGCAGGGTGGAAGAAGCTCTGTCAAAGGCTGTCTGTAGGAGGAAGCCAAGTTAATGATGTGGTGACTCAGGTCTGTCTGTTAGGATTGTTAAAAGCTATTTTTCCGTAGGATCAGTGTGCCTGAGAATTGGCGTAAATATTTTAGAAAGCAACTTAATAATATTTTCAAAAATCTTAGAAAATTTATATTTTGCCTCAATCTCAGTCTATACTAGAAATACCAAAACAATTACAAATGTACCAAAATCAATAAAAACAACCCTAAAGTCCTATTACGGAGGAATGATTAAGCAATTCATGATCCATGAACTTTATGGAGTACTAGAGAGCTCTTAAAATAATGGCTATAAAAACCTTTTAATAAGGGGATTATGATAAAGTAGGTGAAGAGTACAGAAAAAAATTACAAATGCATGAAGGGGCACATTATCAACAAAAAGAGTTGGACTCTGTAACATATTTGAAGAGATTTATTCTGAGCCAAATATGAGTGACCATGGTCCATGACACGGCCCTCAGGAGGTGCTAAGAACATGTGCCCAAGGCAGTCGGGACACAGATTGATTTTATACGTTTTAGGGAGGCACGAGACATCAATCAAATACATTTAAGAAATACATTGGTTTGGTCCAGAAAGGTGGGACAACTCAAAGTGGGGGCTTCCAGGCTATCGGTGAATTTAAACATTTTCTGGTTGACAATTGGTTGAGTTTGTCTAAAGACCTGGGATTGATAGAAAGGGAATGTTCAAGTTAAGATAAAGATTGTGGAAACCAAAGTTTTTTTGAAGTCTTTAGTGACTTCTCTTAGAGACGATAGATGACTAATGTTTCCTGTTCAGATTGTATTTTATTTATTTATTTTTTGAGATGGAGTCTCACACTATTGCCCAGGCTGGAGTGCAATGGTGCAATCTTGGCTCACTGCAGCCTCCACCTTCTGGATTCACGGAATTCTCATGCCTCAGCCTCCCGAGTAGCTGGGATTACAGACACACACCACCACATTTGTATTTTTAGTGGAGATGGGGTGTCACCATGTTGGCCAGACTGATCTTGAACTCCTGACCTTGTGATCCTCCCACCTCAGCCTCCCAAAGTGCTGGGATTACAGGCATGAGCCACTGCACCTGGCCTTCCTACTCAGCTCTTAGTTAATCTCTTCAGGATTGAGAGGGCCTAGAAGAAAAAGACCCAGTTATGTTAACAGAGATTCTTTACAGATGCAAAATTTCCCCCTACAAAGAACAGCTTTGCAGGGCCATTTCAAAATATGGCAAAGAAACATGTTTTGTGGTAAAATATTTTGAGTTTCTTCCTTGTCTTGTAATGTGCCACAGTCAGGTTGGAAAATTAAGTCATGATATATAGGTTGAATAAAACCCATCTGATGAGAATGTAAGATTTGCAGGGCGTGACTCCTCAGACCCCTTCAATAGGAATTTGGGCAAGATAAAAAAAATCAGAGTTTAGTCCTCAGCCTTAGCAAAATAAACTTCTGAATTGGTTGAGACCTGTCTCAGACACTTACTGGTTTACACAACACAGCTGGGTAATGAGGCAGAGCTCAGGGTCTTAAGGGAGAAGCAGTTTAAGTGTATGAAGACAAGCAGGCTTTCATCCTGTGTATTTCACTTACTTCGACACTCACCAGTTATCAGTCACCGTTCAGACCCTGGGTCGAGCAGGAAACAACACAAAGAAAAACTCCCATCCTAACAAATGTAGTTGGCACAGCCCTCCTTATATAATAATAAAACAGGCACATGGCAGCTCCTGAGCACCCTGATTTTCAGTATCAAATAGAGTGGTTGAAGGGGAAACCTCACAGCTGGTCCCAATGAGGGCTTCCCTGTGTGAGGCCAAACGTGGGGTGTGCTGGACTTTGCTCTGGATGGAGTCACCTTTGGTCTCTGACCCCATCCTTGCATCCTAATTTCCTTTCATCCTCTTCTTGTTTTTCAATTTAATGGGTTTTTTCTTTCTAGAGCATCGTTCATGTCCTTCCAGTTGCTTCGAATCTTCGTTGAGCAAGGTAAGATAAGGAAATAAGGATCAGTATTACCCACAAACACAGGGATATGTGTGTGGATGGCCAGATAAAGGCGGGAAATTAATCAGAGAAGGAAAGAAGAGGGAGGGGCCGGTGATGGAATCGGGAAATTGAGAATTCCATCTTAGAGCCCGAAAGAGAGATAATCAAAGGTAAATCATGGCTATCAATACTTAGGGCCCAACAGCTGTCCCCGGCTTCCACCACAGCCTTGTTTTCTGGCCGAATGCGTTGGGAGCCCGTCCTTCCTTAGGATCCATCCCTCCCCTCGGAGGCTGGTAGCCTTGCCCAGCAACAGCAGAGAACCATGCTCTTTCCGCACGCCACCAACAAAACGTGTGAAGCGTCTGATAAAAAACCATGAGCAATCATTGTGTTTCCCTTTCCTAAGGAACAAATTGTTCCCTCTCATGTGTGAGATACAAACAGTAGGCGTTCAACTCATTTGCCTTCTCTGATACGTGGGGAACAAAAACACCCAAGGCCATCGGGGAGAGAGCCAGAGACACGCCATCGTTAAACTCTCGTGTGCGTCAACCGCAAGCGAGGTGTCTCACACAGTTGTCCCCACAGAAGGGGCCTCCTGACACCTGAACAGCATCCGCCCCAGAAACCATCCTTGTCAGGCACATCTGACAGCAGAGGCCTTTCCCCAGGACCCAGCTTTGTCAGGCATGTCTGACGGCAGAGGTGTTCCTGAGAAATGTCTCACCGCAGTGAGACTGGTCATGGAAAAGCCCAGTCCTCTCCTCATTTTTTCCCAAAGACAGAATCTCTGACCCTCTATCCAGGAGGGGACCGTGTTGGAGTCAACAGGACTCTGTCTCCCTCCTGTACTAGGAGTGACCTCTTTAAAGGGAGATGTGGCCTAGGAATATTAGAATCCAAGTAAGAAGTGACCTGTCCAGAAAAGAAGGTTTAAAAAGAATACAGCATTGTCGTGTTCAAAGATAAAAAGAATACAGCATTGTCGTGTTCAAAGATTTCAGAACTTAGGCACTAGTTTAAAGTTATTTAGATAGAATTGAGTGCAGAGGTTAATCAGGGGATATAGAAGTCTAGATGGAGGTTGCTGACTTTACAAAGAAACTGAAAAATTGAGGTTGTGACACTACCTTAAAATGAGATCATAACTCAGGCACCATGTCTCTCGCCAGACACTCCCAGCCTCTCTCTCTGATGGTTTACAAAACCTCATCAAGTTGGGAAGGCCACCCCCAAAATTACTTGGGGGCCTCAAATTGTTTCCTTAGTAGGGTGGAAATAAGCAAAGACTGCCCAAACGACAACAGACAGAGGCTACTTATCCCGAGCTCCTTCGAGTTAGGGAGCCGACCGCCGTCACTTGCATTTTTGCAGAGACTCCAGCAGGCTGGGTGTGGGAGATTCCCAGGGGAAGGGAAGGCACCCGGTGAGCCCCGATGGAGGCTGCTGGCCTGGGAGCTGGGGCGGCAACTGGAATCGGGGTGTCCCGTGTGAGTGTCGGGGGAGCACGTTTGTCTTTCTCGGTTTGTCCTCAATGGACATCAGGGCAGGAGTCAGGGCAGTGAGTTATTAAGCTCTGACCAGCTGGGGCTGATTGTTACAGGGTGTTGTTGCTCAGCATTTTGGATCGTCACTAGGGACAGTGATCAGGACTCCTGCAAGTCTGATTTGCAGATAGCAGGTGGGCATCCTGGGCTGTTCATTGCAGGTAAGGGCTTGGTCTCCTGTGCAGTCTGTGGGTCTGATTTCTGCTTTTACATGTGGTTGGTCCATTGTCCGCTTGTATTTTCATCTCTCAGTCGTAGGCATCTTTCAATGTTGCAAAAATTA